GCTGCTTTGCCAGCATTTATTGATGCCACTGGTCTGGGGTTCACAGCCACGTCCGAGAGGACATCTTGCAGAAATTCGGATGTGAGGTCGATATATGCCTCAAGCTCAACTCCGCCAATCTTGGGTAGAGTGAACTTGTCCCGTGCGATCCGACTAGTACTTGGAGGTTCCGCTTCATACTCACTGTCAGGTTCTTCGTCCAGCTCCAGAGGGCCCGTGCCCATAAGGGAAGGTTGTACATCGCTGGATTCCATAAGGCCGGTAGCTGAATCACCAAATATGGTTGAAGACATCTCTCGCCACTTGACCGTTGGCAGAGTCTTAGGCGCTGCCACCTATACTCGCATAGTGGTCAGCGAAGTTCGCAGTCCTGTGTAAAAGGTGGCTGATACCTGGGGATTCCACCTATGCCAGCCACGGATCATAATAGTGTCATTGAGAGTCAAAATGTCTTGTCGACTCCGTAACTTGGAATTCAACCATGTAACGCTCGACATAGCTCGTTCGTCAACCATGGAATTTACCGACACCGAGAAGATCTTCACAGCAAGTGCCTAACAAACCTCCCAACGTTAGGAAGGCCCATTGTGCACATATAAGGTCAACTTACGCCGAGAACCTGGCCCATCTGATCTCTTCGTACGGCTTCCCACCACTGCTTGACAGTCTCACCATCACGGAAGCGGCGATTAAAAGGCTCTCGTCTCTTCACGTAACTTTGAAACTGCTCCTTCAGCAGAACGTTCGCATCTCGCGGTAATATACTGGCAAGATGAGGGTTCCGGATTTTCATTGCTTTCTTGATCTGCTTTGAATCTGAATCTTTCATAGCAAGGACTTCCGCGCCATATTCATTCTTCAAGATAGTAAGGAGACTCAGCCCAACCTCCTTCACTACGTCGTCGTCGGTGAGTCCGGAGGTGGCAACACGTTCACCATCTCTATTTGATGTGATGCGCACAGCAGGAACCGCGAGAGGATTGCGCTGCTTAAAGATAGGCGCGTTCCGGATCCCTGCCAGATATTCATCAGCACTGAATAAGACTCCGGCATGCAATATGAACGCACGGGGATCCAGGAAGAACGCGACAACATAGATGTTGTTCGCAGAACCACTGATCATATGCTCGAAACGCTTATTTGTTATGGCACGTATACTCTCGATTGTCTTACTGGTGAAGCCACTACGATTACCCTTGAAAAGATGCTCTAGCTGTGCAAGGATTGCAAGCCAGAATAAGAAGACATCTGCGGCTGAAGCATGTGAGTGCTCGAGTGACCTGATGGCTTTTGCAAAGGGTGCTAAAACAGCCAATAACTTCGCCAAATCCAGCGCAAATTGTGCGGTAGAGGTGCCCGGCTCGAAGAGCTCAAGGACCTTTTCCTATGAGAAGGCGTGAGTCATAATTGATGCTATGCTAATGATTAAAGTACGTACCGGGAATTGCACACCAAGTTCATTATTGGCTGCGATCGCACGCAGGGCATCGAGGTTGCGCTCGACGGATGCACCGGCCCAGTACACTGTTCCGAACCGTGTATCCACAATACTTTCAAGACCGCGTGAAATTCCAAGCCGCTCGCGCTCAATATCAAGCTGCTCCCTTGCGTACACTGACCTGCTCATGTACGCGAGGATCTCCCGTACAAGGGCGATTATCTTCTTGATTTCCGGCAAGCGACAAATGTCCTCGATAGCAAGGTCAAGCTCGTGACAGCAATCTTGCATGTTGAATATATGAGGGTGTGTTTCACAGATCAGCCTGCGAGCCTTCGCAGTATTGCCTGTATTATCGGAGACAATACCCGAGAAATGGTGCGGGCCGATGTCATCTATCCACTAGACGGAATCAAATCTTAGCTGGTGATGAATCAATCAGGAGCGAGAGCGTACGTCTTCCAGTAATTCTTCAATCATCTTCCCCGTGTGACTAAGTCCCGAGACGTCACAAAGCTCTAGCAAGAAGGGCCGACGATCAGCCGTTGTGCTATGAATTGAGAACAGTCCTTTTCCGCGTCGGCTCTTGCCCCCATCGAAAGACAGAGTGCTGTGACGACAATGGCGTAGGTACTCTATCATTGCAACTTTGACTTTTGCTGCTTCGTCTGGGATTAGATTCTCCTCGAGTGTGCTAGCGGAAGGGGGCTTGTAATTTGCATTCAGCGTCTCCGTGAAGCGCTTAAACTCCTTCGCGTCAATAATTGCCGGCGGAATTCCGGTGCAGGCAACTGCCACGGTGAGCGCGTTGTCGGCGTCCTCCTTCAACTTCTTCCGTCCCTCCGATACGAACGATTTTGGTAGGCTCTTCTGCGCCCCTCCTCCGCTTGGCTGTGCCCGTTTTGAAGGAACCAACGTCAGGCGTGGTTGCTTCGATGGCGGGGCTTCAGTCTCAGAGTCATCAATATCACTAGTCGCCTGTTCATCTCCTTCCAGCTCCGAGTCGGGGGGGAGATCTAGTATTAATGCAGGTCCACCTGCTTTCCCTGCCAGAAAGGCGCGTACCCGTCTTCTGATATCGCGAGGAACTGATCGGCAACCAATAGTATGTAGAAATATGCGCTGGCGGTTACGCGGAAGAGCCCAGGACTTGTGGCAGATGCTACTCCCAATGCACCGTACGTGAATCTTCGTGTTGCTCCCATCAGTGCGCTCACAGAGCCTTGTCGAAGCTATGAGATCGGGGTGTGCCTTAGCGCCAGATGAGCGTCCGTCTGCTCCTTCAGGTAGGTCCCGCCAGGCGGGATCAGCTATGTCCGTGAGCTTATGGCTGTCGATTTTCTTTCGCTTAGAGCGCTGCTGCTTCGGCGCTTTGGGGGGTGATGATGCTGCATCAGACGCCTCGGCTCCGCCGGATGACTCTACTGATTCATCCAATGTAGCCTGCTCGTGGGTCGGCAACTATTCGGACTCGTAAGTGAATGTTCCGGTGACTGCACCTTTAATAATCTTACATCTTTTGTGTATACTTCGAAGGTCAGCCTGACGGAGTCTAGCACATCATCCAACCACTTCTGCAAGAGGACTGAGTCAGGTAACATCCCGAGGTGTTGATCCAACACGTCTGCAATAGCCTCAATGCCCGGGCCACGTTCTCTCAACACTGCGACTGTGGTGCGTGGTGTTCCCCACTGGACTTCAAGCTGGCGGTTTGCGGCTGCTTCCTGACCCTCTTCCTTCAGCCATTCCTCGTCAAGCCCAAATGCGTGGAAACCATAGGACGAATCTTGGGCAGAACGTAAGGGCAATTCATTCGGGAGATCTTGTAGGTATAGTCGCAGGAGTTCTATGTCTTTAGCATGCCGTTTGTCTGTCATGGTTGACCGGCTTCAGCAAGAATA